AGGAAGTAATAAGATCAGACTTGCATATATATATATGTGAAATATTAATATAAGGAATATTAATCTACAACCCAGGTTCTTAACATTTTTGTGTTATCATAGAAACCCTTTGGCAGTTTGGTGAAACACCTTCTTAAAATAATGTTTTTAAATGCAAAAGCAAAATATATGGGTTTATAAAGGAAGCCAATTATCTTGAAATGCAGATTAAGAGCCTTGATCTAGGATAATACCTAACACTTACATAATTCATTAAGGATTTTAAAGTACTTTACATTTGATCCTGAAGCCACCTTGTTAGGTAGGTGATATTGTCCCCTTTTTACTGTTGAGGAAACAGGTTCAGTGAGGTTCAGTGACCTGTCTATGGTGACGTATCTAACAAGTATCAGGGCCAAGCCTCTCCTGACTCTGATTCCACTAGAAAGTGGATGCTTTAAAGGGAATCAGTGTGAATGATGAACTGAAGGATAAATTTGGTGGTAGATGGAAAGATGGAGGCAGCAAGAATCTAAGAAGACAAGTTTGTGTTTTCATGGTATTCCAAGTCCATGGTAATGATGACCTAGAGTAGAAAGAGGCAGGAGGAAATCACTACAAGAGATACATGGCAGTAAAAATGACAGACCAAAGATAACACCAAGGTTTTAACCCTGAGTGACTAGGTGAATAGTTGTACCCCTTACATAAATTAGGAAGTTACAAGTGGGAAGCAGTTTGGAGAGAAGGTTAATGAGCTTTGTTTTGTATATGTTGTGGGACTGGTTAGACGGGCCAGTTAAAAATTGTGACATCTATAATTTGAGATTGACATCTGAAGGGGCAGGAGAAGGGATAAAGCTGGAGATATGTATTTGGAAGCCATCTGCGTCTAGATCAGGGATTCTCAATCTTTTGTTGTTAGATACCCAGAGGGGTGCTGGTAAATGTTGGACACCTGGCTCTTGAGAGGAAAAGACATACCCATAGCATACTGCATTATTATCTTGTTTCCTCACCTCCTTAAGTCTAGACAATAAGCAAAAGAGAGAACCAAGGCCTGGTTGAAGTATTTGCCTATTTCAGAGGTATGAATGCTCACATTGGAAATTTAATAATCAGTTCACTAGTATGAGCTGGCTCTAGCACACCCAATCCAATCAACATTTATTAAGTGCCTACTATTTACCAGGCACTGTGCTTAGGGCTATAGAGTTAAAACTAGGCATTTGAAACCCTCAACAGACCCTTTTGTTTGGTAAGGCCTATGGACCTCTTCTTAAAATAATGGGTTTTAACTGAAAAGCAAATACATAGGATAACAACAGAAATTGATTATGGTGCGATAGTTGTCAAAGTATTAAAATTTTTAAAAAATGTTCAGGGACCACCCCTTCTCACCTCCTGCTGCCTGATCTAGATAGTAGTTGAAGCAATGACAGTGAATGAGATGTCCAAGGGACTGAGTGGAGTTGAGAACAGGCTTTTTTTTTCCCCTATGCAATTACTAATTAATTTATTAATTAGGATAGCTAATAATCAATAAATTGATGATTAGTGGTTTCTCTCCATTGTGGATCAGGGGTGTGCCTTCTGACAAGAACTCTGCTAAGAAATGAGAGTCAACCCTGATGGGTGGATATTTAATTAGATGTTGGGTTAAAAGTTTTCAGCAACTCCTGCTAAGAATGTGGCTTGATCATGAGACTGAAGGCATCTGGGCAACATAAGTCATTTCCATCTGGATCATTCTGACTAGTTTTCTCCTTCATAATCTGGATTGTCCTAAACTCTAATGGAGAAACTTAAGGCAGGGGTTCCTTCCCTAAGCAAGAGTCTCACTCAGACTTAATTCTGTTTATACTCTAAACAAAAACTAGGTTTCCCACTTGGGGGGGTATCCTACCCAACCCAGAACAGACTTTCAAGAAAGCACAGAGAAAGCCAAAAGAACTCTATCTGGATCTCCAAAGAGTTTTCTCTGAAAATTTCCACTTGAAAAGAGTGAAAACATAGTGAGAGGTCATTGAAAACCTTTAAGTCTTGCCTGTGTCTTACACTCCATGCAGGCTCTCTCAGTTTCTGTATTTCTGGACATTCTGCTGAAGTGTCAAAGAACCACATCATAACTAGCTTTCACAGTTGTGTTATCACCAGCAGCTATGAAGTAATAACAGAACATGCCAAGGATTACTCAAGCCAGATGAAAGCTTTCAGAAAATGTGGCATATCTCCCTATGTAGGGCTCTACCAATTCTGTCGAGAAGTTAGATTCTGATGCAGCAGAAATGCATTAAATAACCTTTACAAATTCTCAGCTTGCTCCAGACAACCTCATTCAACACCCCCAGCACCAGTGACAACAAAAATTGGGCTTTTTCCTCCATGAATCTGCAAATATCCCCATGTGGGTCTGCAGTATCATACATTGGTACATTGTAGTCAAAAGAGAAAAACAAGCCGAATGGACCTCGTTCACAAGTAGGCTTTGCTGTTCCCTTTCTGGAAGTCCATTATAAAAGCCCACTCTGGTTAAAAGCTTTGTAGATTGGCCAGGTATGATCTCACATAGATTAAAAGGATTCTCATTTACTGTCTCTCATTTCTAAGTGAATTGTTGATAAATGGTTGGCAAGAAAGCAAACGCTGCATTCTATTCCAGAAGCTCTGCTTGGGAACACTGAGTTTTAGACTCAGTCTTCCACCATCCTCTCACCAAAGGCCCAGGGGCGCCATCTTATAAAACCAGTAGATAAAGTTGTTTGTTTTCAACTAAGGATAATAATTACTAACATGTATGCATGAACAGACACCCAAATATTAATTCTCAAGTTCAAATTAAACCGTGAAGGAAAGGAAAAAAAGCTCTGTTTCATTCAATTTCTTTGTCTCATTAAGGATTTGAGATTTGTATTTGAAGGAGAATCTCTGAGTGTATATGTTTTCAGATCTATAGGTATGATTTCTTTTTCTAGAGATATGAGAACAACAGGATGGCCATTAATCACAACTTAAGGGTTTGGGGAAGTATTGGGAGAATAGAGATATTGACAACATGGTCAATTAACACTTTTCAAACCAGTGAATTTTGCCGGCTAATACTTTGCAGTCAAGGGAGTTTACAGAGTATTTGAACCAATGTGGAATTTACAATGTAGATAACATATCCATATTATGTCAAAAGACTAGAAAGCTTATATATGAACTATATCCTTGATTCTTTCCCTATAGCACCATATGTAAATGTCCTGTAGAGCCAGGGAGGAAAAAACTATCCCTCACACCCCAGCTTGATTCTCAAGCAGAAGTGTAACAATTTTCAATCATCCCATGGTTCCCTGTAACACAACACCATCCCCCCCCAAAAAAAACAACCAAAAAAACAAACCTTAGCATGCATGATTCCCCTCAAAAATCAATGGATTGTGGGAATAAGTTGCTGCTAGAACAGCTGTAGGGGGAAAATGAGGGCCAGGGTGGGCCTTGTGTCTTTTTCAAACATGCCTCGTACAGGAGATTCCTTTTGCACATTTACAACAGTCCAATCTCCAGCCCTAATAGGTTGAAGGATCAGGCCATTAATTCCTATTGTGTAGAATAATAGCCTTAGAACTGGGAGAGATCTCAGAAGCCAACTTGTTCAGCTCCTTCATTTATTTAACAAATGAGAAAAGTGAGGCCCAAGGAGGTTGAGTGGCTTGCCCAAGATCGTCAGAGAATGAATTGAACCCAAGTCCTTTGATTCAAAAGCTTGTGCTCTTTCCATTATACAACCATAGTCCTCTATAGGCTTAAGCGGTTATAAACTTCCAAGATTTGAGCTTTGAAACCATCTACCTTGTTGCTTACAGCAACACAGTGAATAGAGTGCCAGGTCTAAAGGAAGTTAAATCTGGCCTCAGACAGTAGCTGTGAGATCCTGGGCAAGTGATTTAATCCTGTTTGCCTCAGTTTCCTCATCTGTAAAATAAGCTGGAGAAGGAAAGGGCAAACCATGCCATAGCTTTGCCAAAAATGAAACAAAACAAAACAAAACCCAAAAGGGGTCACTAAGATTTGGACATGAATAGAAAATTACTGAATGACAGCAACCCTGCTTGATTACTCAGTATTTAGATTTTGTTATATTTATTCTTGATTTAAATTATAAAGTTATCATGATTTTCTGAGGGAATTTGTCTCTCATAGCTGCCAAATATTAGAGAAAAAACCTATTAGGTAGTAACAAAATTCATGTCCAATAAACCCAGATTTTAATTATTGGACAGTATCAATTCCATCTCTTCCATGAAGTCTTCCCACATCCTTCCAGGTTGGGAATTACTTTTATTTTCTTCTTGTAGTTCTCATAATACTTTTTGTTCGCACATTTCTAATGAAATTATCATGTGATTTAAAAAAAAAGTTTTGTCGATGTATTTTTTGTATTACAAACATTTATAAATTTCTCCACTTTGTGAGAAATCTCTTTTAAGAAAAAAAATAATAAAGTAAAACTAATAAAAATGATTAATTTCATTTAAAAGTGTATATTACATTCTCCTCCTCTGCCTCACCTCTATTTTCAGGGCTGGGATATTGATAAAATAATGTGCTTTTCACACCAGTGAGCTTGGCAATCCTGTAGAATATAGTTATGTAATCTCGTGTATTTCAATTATCAATATCTGTGTCTGTGAGACTATGTTCAATGAGGTCCAGAACTGTTTTCTATAAATTTACATCTCCCCCAAAGTGCTTTGCATATAACAAATGCTTAGTGAATGTTTAATGAATAAATGAATATGATAAAAAGAATCATGTATCTTTTAGCATTATGTGAAAAAGGTGTATGACTATCATTCAAATATTATGTAATTAGTATTATGTGATATTAGTATGTTATATTTATAAGTATCTTAGTGTTACTAAAAGTTATACAGTTCCATTTAATAAATTCAAATTGTATTGCAATGAAGATTAATTTATTTGCAAGTAATTACACTATTTATTACACATTTTTTCATACTTGTTTGAAACAGGCCTCATTAGAAGAACTTGATACTATTCTCACCTCCATATTCCAAGCTGAGATACCACATTATGATCTTAGAAATCTCCAACTAGAAATGCACCATCAAGAAAGTGAGTATTTCTCACCTAAAAAGTGGGAGATTTTTGTGTTCCTACCTTACCCATTTGCCTACGTGGTAGAATGTATTCAAGGTAAGATAGAAGATCAAGGAAGCTATGCCCCACATGCAATAATATTGTCCTCATTGTTTTTGCATATACTTAGCTTTCTCTCATGTGTTATTTGGCATTCTAGTCATACTTCCTTAGCTTTATGCTCAATAAATCATGAATCTTCAATTTTTAGACATTTGCCAAGTATTATTTTCTTTCTTTCTTTCTTCTGTTTATTTTTTCATTATTTTTAAGTACAGCCACTTAGAATTAATGAGGTATTTTAATTATCAAAAGAAATCCATCCACTTTCTTATTAAATATTTGGAAGAAATTTTGTTAAGGGGTAGAAGGAACATAATTTTCAATTAATTTCTAAAGCAAAGAATTAGAAAGAAAGTTTGTGCATTATTTGAGCTCAGAGAAGCAGGCTCAGTCTAGGAATCATGATTATTCTAGGATCAATCTTGCTTAAGTGAGTTTGTTTAATCCCTGAGATCATAGACAAAGTGGCACCAATTGGTTAGGACATCTGAAGTTTCTACTTCGAAAGAGAAAATTTGGAAGGTCCCCAGAAAATGTTATTGTTCACTTGTTTTCAGTCAGATCAGTTGGGGCAACTAGCAGCCTCAGTATCAGAGAGAGAGAGAGAGAGAGAGAGAGGAAGAGAGAGAGAGAGTGTGTGTGTGTTTGTGTGTGTGGTGAAGGGTTGCCTCTGCAGTTTATTTTGGTCAAGAGAAGCATAAAATGCTTTTTATTTTATTTTTTTCTTATAGATTTTCATTGGTATCTTTTGTTTTTATGTCACCTGTGTTTCCCAGTAGATTCCACTCTGCATCCTCTCCCAGAGAACTCTTCTTTATTACAAAGAATAAAAAAGGGAAAAGCAGCTTCGCACCCCTTCCCAAACCAAAAAACAAACAAACAAACAAACAAACAAACAACTCAATAATCTTTTGGACAGAAAAAGACTAGACTAAGGGGGGGGTATCTTCCATATTTAATGTGATTTTTAAAAATTTATTTATGTTTTAATTTATGAAATAAAACAGCATTTCCATAACATACTATAATAAAAAAGATGATTGCACATGAAACAGAAAATCTACAACTTGCTATTCCTTTAAAATACATAATAAAGTAATATTTAAATTTGTTTTCCCCCACTTTTTTTCTTCCCTCCTCCTCTAAAGATGGTACCATTAGACAATTGGTGTGTGTGTTTGTGTGCTCTGTGTGTGTGTGTGTATGCATGTATGTAAAATTATTCTACATGTACTTCTATTTATGAGGTCTTTCTCTGGTTGCAGATAACATCTTTCTTTATATGTCCCTTATAGTTAATAGGAGTATTTCTAATAGTCACTCCCCAATTTGCACTGGGAGGTTGAATCCTCTCAAGCAGGTATGGGAAGTTGGAATATGGCCATACAGGTCTAAGGTATTCAGGAGGTATGAATTTTGAAAGCAATAACTCAAAAGCCCCCTTAAATGTCTTTACCTTTAATAGTCACCCAGAGAGCATAAAGACATTTGCTAAGATAACACCATAAGAACAATAGATAGAAAACATTCCCCTCCACAAACCTAGAACACATTGCCCACACATGCATAGTATCAGTAGGAAAAGTGGGCAGACACAGTATACTGGAGAATGTAAATTACTTGCCCACATATCCAACAAATGTCTGAAGCAGAATTCAAACTCTTAGCTTCAAGTCCGGCATCCCATCTGCTGCACACACTATCTACCTTATAAAACCTTTGTAACAAGGTTACATAATCATGAGTTTAAAAAAAAATCCCACATTGGCCATGTCCAAAAATGGACATTGGGAGATGAACGCATTCTTCATCATGATTGGTCCATTTGTTGATCAGTATTCTTAATTCTTTCAAAGTTATTATTGTATAAATTGCTCTGCTTTTGCTAACTTCAGTATGCTTCAGTTCATACAAATCTTCATGGTTTTTTTCTGAACCCATCCCTTTTATCATTTCTTATAGCAAAATAGTATTCCATTATCTTTGCATACCGTAATTGATTCAATCAGCCAGTTAATGGACACTCTCTTGGTTTCTAGATATTTGCCTCTGCATGAATAGGTGCCATAAATATTTTTTGTATGTATAGGTATTTTTCTTCTTTTTTTGAGATAGAGGGCCAAAAGTGGTATTGTATGTCAAGGTGAAATAAATAATGATGCACCAGGAAAGCTACCCAGATGATTAGACAGCTCCAAGCTTCGTTGCTTTGACGTAACAAAACCGCACACACCCTTCCTTCCCCCCTCACCCCACTCCCCGCCCCGGTCTGTCCCCATCAATACTCAGGGTGCTTAGAATCACAGCCTAAGAGTTTAGGGAACAGCAGCCCAAGCATGGTCTATCTCTAATTTTAAAAGTTGTTCCTACTGTAAAAATAATAATGGTAATAGGGTATGATTCCCTCGTTAAGACAATTAGCACCTTCCTGCCTGCAGTTCTTCGCTGGGTGTGGCCATAATTGGATATCATTGGCTTCCACTTCACTGATACTCTATCTTTCCTTAACTGCTAAAGTGGGATATACTGACACCACTGAGAGGTTATAACTCACAGTAAACGGGGGAAAATAGGAATGATGAAAATACAGCAGTAAGGGGGAAGATGGCAGTGCTGAATGCTACAGTCTCCAAGAGTGTTACTGCATTAAAACACAATACAGTAATTGAAGTGCATAATGATCATCCTTAATCATCAAGGTTATTGAGAGTACTCTTAAGGCAAGGAAGGATCAATCACTTTCCTTTCCAAAGAGCAAGATCCGGCCCATATTTATGACCCACATGATACCTAGTGCATTATGAGTACATCCTTTTAAGGAAGATTTCTATCAAAACTAGTTTTTAAAATGTTTGGGAAGTAAAAGGCTAAGCCTCAATTATCCAGAAACCTTTCAGAATGCCACTTAAATGCTTGAGTAAAAATCGGATAAATCTTGCTGTGCATGCCAGCACTTGCCTCCTATATGTTGAGGTTTTTTCTTTTTAATTTTTATTTCATTTTTAATTTATGAAATAAAACAAGCATTTCTGAAGTGACTTTTCAATCTGATACTACATCTCAGAGTTTTTGAAAGTCAGATGTCTGAGTGAGAGGGGTTTTTTTGGTTTTGTTTTGTTTTGTTTTTAACGAGGCTTTGACTAAGGACTTGATTGTCAAAATAGAATGGAAGGGATAGATTGGAGAGATGATAGGAAGAAAAATGGTAAGATTTAATCCTGGAAGTAAGGACCAAAAGACAGTTATAACTCAAAGTTTTCTTCCCTGAAAGTTTATCAATATGGCTAGGCAGAGTAGGGTAAAGGCTGTTGGCCTTGGACACTGGAAAGAGCTGAACAATAACCTTACATAATTAACATTTGCTAGCTGTGCCGTCACAAACATATCGCTTAGCCTGTCTCCTTATCTATAAGATGAGGATAACAATGTTAATAGTTCCAAATTCCGGGGGCTGTCGTGAGGACCAAATAAGATATGGTACGTAAAGTGCAAGTTTTAAAGTACTTGTAATTGTTGGTTATAATTATGGAAACATAATTATGAGGGAGCTAGCCACAAGGGGAGTCATGCAGGAAGATAAGACATTATATTTTTGACATACTTAATTTGAATTGTTGATGAAATGTGACAGGGCTTATAGGGCAGGAGTGGTGGGCTTACTTGAGGGCAGGGTGGGCAGTTCACAGTTAAAAATTTCATATATTGTTGAAAAGCCTCCAAAGAAAACATGACAGGGTTTAAGATGTGAGTTCTGCAAGGAATAAGCCAAGCACAGTTCCAAATATTATATAAACTGGTTTCACATGTTGTTTTCTCTCCCAGCCTTCATTTACTAGCTGAAGGGACTCGATGGCCATTTGTGCAAGAAGAATTGTAGGGAGATTGGTTATATGACAGTCTTACCCTCTTGGTAGCCAGTTGATATGTCCCTACAGACCGTGATGGCTTGACAATCCATGCAGTGGAACATTCTATTCCACTTGAAACACATGACTGCCTCCTATATCCTGGGTTTTTTTTCCTTAATCCTTTTCAGATGGGCTCAGCAGTTTCTTTTCTCTGCAATTTTGCAATTTCATTTATAATAAATAAAATACATACTTCTCTGTCTATGTGTCTATACACTTTTAAATATGTGTATGTACATAATTTACATTTCTAGCAAGTAAAATGGCAGGAAGCTAAAAAAACATGGAAATATCTTGGATGAATTTCCTTAACAAATTGGTGAACATTGTCATGTCTTCATTTTTTTTCCTTGTATTTCTTATGCTTATGCTTTTATTTTAGTGGCTTGCCATGTAAAACTTAAAATACTTCTTTAGAGTTAAAAATAATAATAAAGTGCTCTTCTTGAGAATAAACTGGTTCATGATGTTTAACTGAATTCAAAACATTAATTCAGTGCAGTTTTTAAACACAAAGGGCAAAGAAACAATCCAGAAAAAGCATTGTACTATATAATTCTGAAACAGAACAACACAGATTTCTTAAAACATACTTGCCCTTCCCTAACACCTTACTTCTGTACATTCCATCCCTGCCTTGGTAAATCCCATATTCCTGCATAGCCTCCTACTTCTCACATATTCACTCCCACACTCCCATTCAAAACCCTCTAAAAGCCCAGCTAATGAAATAAATCTCTTAAACAGAAAGTACAATAGATCAGCTCCATTTATTAGAGTGTATTATTAACAAAGTGAACATTATAGATTTGATTCCCTACTGCTATCAGTTAGTTTGGGGCAGAGCAAATAATAGTCCATTGCTAACTAAGATTGTATTCCTAGCCCTGGATGGAAGTACGTGACAAGGGAAAGAACACGGGATTTGGAGTCAGTGGACAAATCCGGGCTTGGCAATTTATTTGCAATTTATTAACTTTGTGATGTGGAGAAAATCACTTAAAC